GACGACTATATCATATAGCTCCCATACAAATAATAAAAATATATAAAAGAACAATCAAATAATTAAGCTGCAAATCGTCATAGCTTCAATGTTTTTAAACACATACGCAAGTAAATCATAATTTTCAATGTTTTCAAAAATATTTAATTCTTGCGATAGCTGCAAGGGTATATGAACTTCGGCTTGCCGAAGTTGGCTTTCTTTCTTGTTTTTCTTTCATGTGTAGAAAGAGAGATAGAACAAGACAGCGACATCTGTGACAGAGAAGGAGATAGAACATTAAACAATTTGTTTCACATTTGAGGAACCTTTCCCTCGCCATTTTCCTTTTATCCACCGACTTACATGAAAACTTTTTCCAGACTTCGTCTACCCTTGGTATAAAAATGTCCGTGTGAGGAGTATCTGTGTTTTAAATATCTGTGTGCGATGCACCCAAAAGTTTGAGTCTGTGTGGGTGTTACATGTATAACATTACAAAACGGTACACATGTGCAATCTGTCTACGGTTAAATTTGTTACGCTGCACGCCATACGAACATAAAAAGTGCATTTCCAACTTGGCACCATTCGACACTAAAGATTGCATGGAGAAAATCGTCGCTCCCCTTTTCCTTCCCTGACCACTGGCTTCCCACCTTTTCACCATAGTTTTCTCGCTTTCCCACACCCTTTCACCTTTTCTAGTTTCGTATGCAAATTGTCGTTTAAGCAAAAACACGTGGCCCTTGTGCGACAATCGCTTCATAAAATATTAAAGGGATTTCATTTCAAGCTAGCAAGCGAAAAAATTTGATTTTATTGAGTGAGGTTTTAAAAGTAAAATTACATTTTGAAAATGATAAATATTGTTTTAGTCTTTGTTTTAGATTTCAGCTTTGCAGAACGCGTTTATATTAAATGCACTTTTTTGTTGATATAAATCTCTTTAACTACTTTCAAATTGATTTATTTTCCAGTCAAAACGATATCGAGAGAGCTTAACATAACAACATAAGTGTTTTATTAATTTCCCAGAAATGTAGATTTAGCAGAAAAGCTTAAGCTTGCCAATGAAATTCCAAGAACCAAGTACTAGAAGAGCAGCCACACTTAAATTTACAACACAGTGGCACCTAGTATGGGTTCATCTTTAAATTGAATATAAAACGTTACATTCTGGTAAATTGCACAACGAAGGCAGCAGCAAACGAGCCAAGGAAAGAATCCTGAAGTTAAGGTTACATATGCATTCCCTCTGCGATTTCTCTGTCTCTTTCCTGCCCCTATTGCCCTCCCATTCTCACCCCTGTATTTGTCGCCGTGTCAAACTGCCAACAGCTAAAAGACTTTAGCTAACTGGGGAAAAAAATCACCGAAAAAACCAAAGAAAAAAAATTGGAAAGCGAACTTAAAGCTACAGTACTTTTTTTGGATTGTATTACATTTTTCGTATATTGCATTTTAAAAATATAAAATAAAATTATTATGAATATAAATGTGTTAAAAAATTATAAGCCTTTTTTATATAGAGTATATTTAATAGTGTGTCAAGTAATTTTTTTGTTTATTTCACTGGTATAAACATTAAACTAATAAAATGATTTTCTTTTATATCTACATATATTTCATTTATTATGAAAAACGTTATTTCCTTATCGAAATGGACTTAAAATAGATTTGAATAGATACAAACCCCATTGAGAGCTAAATTTCCCACCCAAATGCTGCCGAATTGAAAATCCAACAAAAGGTAGTGACTACAAAAAAAATGGTAAAAAGGAGAAAACTACTGCAACTGTCAAGTGCATTATCATGGCATCTTTTTGCCAAAAGTTCAGAAGGTAAAAACCAAAAGGAAATGCAGTCAAGTGCTTAGAAATAAAGCACCATTCAGATCTCAGAGAACTTATTTAAGATTTAAGATGCAACGCCAATCAAATCACCTTTGAATGTCAGTTAATGAAAGGTAATTGCATACTCAATGAAAATAGGAGGTTGAATTAATTTTAAATTGAATGTAATAGGAAAGTAACAACATCAGAAATTGAATGAATTACCATAAAAATAGTCCTTGTTACACTTTCACGCCTTTTAATTGTTTCCAAATTGTTTTAATCACTCTGGTCTGGATTAATTGGTATAATTTAATTAGTTATTCATTTACAATTGATTACACAATAGTGTTTTTGTTATCGCAATAATTTACGGTTAGCTTATTTAAAATTTATTTTTGCAAACAATATGTGTACTTTAAAGATTAAACGCTTAGTTTAATTCAATTAGTCCTAGTAATTTACCTCTTCTCAGAGGAAATAAATTCAAATTATATTATTTTATTTACTTACCACATTAATTATTTAAACGTATATATGGGTAATAGATTTAAGGCTTAGCCCTTTTAAAGTTTTACTTCCTGCTGCCTAAACACAAAAAAAAATTAAAGCAGTTCGAAATCACGCATACGCCATGGAGCCCCGAAATTCCTTTCTCCACCCCCATGAACAAAGTTCCTTACATGGATATGTATATACGTATAGATTTATATAGAGATTTCTGCAGCATCAAGTTGTACAACACCCCCGTGGACAAAGTAAAGCATAGTTAGTAGACTACACTTTTTTACCGGGGTTTTGTTTGGGGGTTAAGCATACACGGTTGTGGCGTTTAACAAAGTTTAAGGCAACCACAGGTTTTCCCAGCATATGTGTGGGGAAAAACGGAGAATATTAGAAAAGGAGGCGGTGGACTCCACTACAAACTACTCGTTTCCTCGGCAGCTTCTGAAACTTTTTGGCCATGACTAAGAAACTTTTGGTACCACCCAAAACCCAGAAGCTACATTTTCAATTGTTGCACTTGCCAATGTCTTGGAGCCTCCTTTTTATCTCTGGATTTTCCCTCAGGGCCAACAATTAAATCTGCGTCCAGACTGTGCGGCAATTATAAGCGCACATCATTTTGGTTCAAGAGTTTTTACTCTCCCATTTTTTTGCCCATTATTATTCGCAAAAGCTTTTAAAGGGTGAGATAAATTTCACGCCTAAATCACCACCGTTTTGAGCCACATCCTGCGCCACAAATTCAAACAAGGCACAAAGTTTGCTTGTTTGTCGTGTTTGGTTTTTGGTCTAGAACTCTCCAATTTGTGAAACAATCCGACCGTAAATGTCGGCCTCTCTATGCCAACTGCAGTACTTAAAGAGCTTTAATTAAGTTCGACTTGAGCCGGATTGTTGGAGTAAGTTTTTCCCACAACAACCCTATCCGAAAAGCTGATTGAAAGTTGCGAAAATTGGTGTCAACACTTGGTCACATGACTGGCAAGCGCCAACTATCCCAACTCGATTCTCTGATTTTGCCCTTGCAGCAAGTTTTTGGCTTTTCATTAAAAACTTTTTCGACTGTTTGTCATTTTCGGTGTATGTCTGTTGCACAATGTAGCCTCCTTTAAAAAGTTATTTTACCTAAAAGATTTAAAGAGCTTCAAAACAAATATATTTAATTGTAATATTTTTTTATTAAATCCTAAATGTTTCTTCAAAAATAATAATTTTGTCGTGATAGCTTTTAAGAAGAAATTAATAAGTAATATCCCATACCGACTAACCTGGCCTGATAAGGATGATGACGAGTCATTGATGACCTTTAAACATTAGCTTTTGAAGCGTCACAGAATTATAAACGATAACGCTGATCGAGCGTTGTAGATAGATGAAATGAAATCCGTGCTTTTCAAAGACACTTTACTTCGAAGAACTCTGTTATCAGAAAAGCACTAAGTAAAACCACCAAACAACAGATGAACATATAAAAACAGTATGCCAAGGGAGGAATAAGTCAGTTGCCGCTTTAACACGATCGCTTAAACACGACCATTTAACAAAAATGCTCAAGTTTGCAATTGTTTTGTTTTTTGCTATTATAGCAGCTAGTTCCGATGAAGCTGTGGCAAATCCCATCACTTTGTCGGGCAAACAAACCGAATGTGATGATTCCTGCGTAAGGACTTTGCAACCGATGCTGAATCTGTTGACTGCCCAGCAGAGTCGATTAAATGATTGCGAAAAGCGCTCTACGAATGCGGCACAAGTACGGATTGAGGGCCAGCTGGAAGACCTACGCAAAAATGTCGACAAATTTTCCCCTACCTACGAGAAGATCGGCTCGCGATTCTTCTATATCGAGAAAAGGAAAAAACTAAATTGGTTTTCGGCTGCAAACTTTTGTCGCCAAAAAGGCGGCTATCTTGCAAGTATCCGAAGTGCAGAGGAACTCACCCTAATCTCGACCAGGCTCAATGCGGACGTTGAATTTTGGATAGATATCAACGATTTGTCCAACCAGGAGGAGTACATTTCTTCGTCCTCCGGCGAGGTAGCTCCTTTCTTGGATTGGCAGGATGGCGAACCTAGTACTATGGAAAATACTCAGCGCTGTGTCTCAGTGATCAACGGAAAAATGAAAGTTAACATATGTGCCTCCCAAAAAAATTTCATTTGTCAATCAGATGACTAAAATTAATTTTTAAAATAAATAAATTGCTAATACAAAAAATGGAAATGTAAATTTTTGAAATATTTTGGTTATGTGTAACACATACGCCTGCGAGAAAGCTTTTTTGTTAACTAATTTTAATCGATCTATCATTTTTAAATTAATACATCAATAAATATTAAGTTGATTTTATTAAATAATAATATTTTACTTAACTATTGTAGTTCAGTGTTCAGTTTTAAAACAAAACACTGGTTTAAAGTGTTTTAATATTACTTTTTAAATAAATATTTTTTTTTCAAAATTTCTAAAGATTTATTTGCAAAAAAAGTACACAAAGAAGTTTTAAATAGTTTTACTTAGCCCCTATTAATCATTATAATAAAGATGAGGAAACGGCCTAAGTATTATTTATACTAAGTACCACGCCGTTCTAATTAATACTTGAATATATTTAACTCAATAAATTAAGATTATATTTTGGTTTTAAAAAATAAACATATTTTTTTTTTTTTTTAAAAAGATTTATGTTTTTAGAAAATGTTATTTTTCAAGACCAGCCTGGCAAATAAAAAGAGACTTAGTGTTGCAGTGGCTGTCGTAGTAATAGCCGTTGTACAGAAAAATACAATGCTGCATATTTTGGTGGTTATCGGGTTCGCCGTATCCCCAGTTTAGAAAGCTTGCCTTCTTGCCGGAGCTCGAGTGGACGAACTCGCCCTCCGTTGCCAGATCAGTGGTGTCCAGCCAGTAGACTTCGCGATCGACAAGGTGCTGCTCGATTCTGGACTGTTCCATAGAATTCTGGATGCTCGCCAGGTGTGCGCCCATCTGGCGACAAAAGTTTGAGGCCCCATACCAATTCTGCCGGGTGCTTTTCTCAATGTAGTAGTATTTAGAATCGATCTTCTCGAAGTTCGGTGGAATGTTTAGGACGTTCGATTTGGACTCCGGCCAATTTCCACTGCTGGATAGCTTGGCCTGTATGTCGCTCAACTCGCTTTCTATCCGAATCTGATCCGCCTGAACGTCGTTAAGTTTGCTCCTTTCGCAGGCATCCCACTCCGTCTGATGGGCTGCCACATGATCCAGCATTCTTTGTAACGCCGAAAAACAGCATCCATCTAACTGAGTTTCCAGCTCTGGCAAAGGATCTCCGGAAATCGGACCCTCAGTTGTTATTGCGAGTGATCCGTAGACCATCACAATCATTAAACCACTAAACAAAGCTTTTGCCAGAACAAGCATTTTAAAGAGTTAATGTTTTCCCGATCGTGTTGAGGTTGCAACTGATTTATTCCGACTCTGTTGGATTGTTTTTATATTCATCTGATTTGTGGGTATTAGTCGGAACATTTGCAGATTAATCGTCTATTCTTAGATTACTGATTTCGGCGTTCTGCGAATTCCAGCATTCCAGTGATAAGCAATATATGAATAATTGCATTAATTGCATTATTATTTACGTATATACTCTGGCTTATCAATTCTGCGTATTCCTCGGCTTTTGCGAAAGCTGATCTCTAAGAACAATACATTTATTAAATGGTTATCATCAACAAACTAAAATGTGTTGTTATCAGGGACCGTAATCACATAAGTAATAAAAATCACAGTTAACATTTAAATAGTATTTATTGGCTCAATAAATAATTTTTATAATTTTTTCGCTTTTCAATATTATATGATAATATACATTTTGATTGATTTAAATTCTAAGTCATAAACTCACTTTAAGTACAGTTTGAAGCGGTGTTTTAAAAACTGTGTTGTTATAACTTGAAAAAAAAACCGGAAAGCGAGCCCAAGACCAGCTCCTTTTCAGCCAGATATATAGACATATATACATAGACGCATAGCGCAGACACTGCATGACTAATGCGAATAATACATAAGTGCTGCTAATGCACAAGAACATGGAGCTTGGCTTGAAAATGGGAGCGGGAAATTTTTGGAAGCTGAAATGCCTGAGAACGGGAATGAAACTGGGAGGGAACCGGAGCATTGTCGCAATATGACGCATACGCGTATATTTTATGGCCAAGAGATATGGTAAAAACGGGGGGCGGGGCAGATAACTATGACTTCATTATGAGCTCATGCCCGTAAAGTGCAACCAAACCGAACCAAACCAAACCAAAAACCCAAGCAGCGGAGGCCCGACAACTGCCAGCATAAGCCAAACATTAATAATAAACAACTTACAAGCCATAAACCAATGGGATGCCGACTACCAACTACCAACAGCCAGTAGCAGCGGCAACGAGCCTCAAATAAATTACACCATGAAAAATAAACAAAGTCAACGCAGGCAATGCAAAAAATCACCCAGAGCAAATGACATTAAAAGAATTGGAAGGGGGTTGAAAACGCATTTCTCGTTGAAAAAAAAAAAATAATAATAAAAAAAATAAAGCGACGCATAGTGAGTGCTAAAATTATGACAACAGGCGGCTGATCCTGCACTGGCTATAGCCCAATAAAAAATGTAAAAAAAATAACCAAGAGTGAGAAAAATGGAAAAAAGAAATCCGCTCAACTGGCAGCCAAACTGCAATGGAGATGGTACAAATTGACACTGGACATGGTTACATCGAAATGGGCATGGATGTGGCTGGGATTGAGTTTGAGGATGTCCAGCGGCCGGGGACATGGACATCGGCGACAGTAAACTGACGGAGAAAAACGTAGAAGAAAAGTCATGCTGCAATCCACGCACTTTACACTCACCAAAGAGCCAACAAGCCAAGAGATTTTCAGATCCTACGAAACGTAAGCCCACAATGTTCGGAGGCTACACTTTCCGTTTAGACAAATCCACAATAAAATACCTTTGTTAATAGTTTCTTAATTTCTTTAAAATTAAATAGTAATTAAAAATTAATGTATTCATTCCGATACATTTCTGTTGTGTTTTTAAACTATATTTTTGGCCAGGCAAAGATTAAAAAAAATCAAAATTATTAGCAAATATTAACAATTATATATGTAACACTGAAAATTTAACTCAAGACGAAATTTCAATTTTTGTGTTGATTATCTCGGTACCAAAAAAAAAAACAAAATAAAATGTATATTGCTGTTTCATGTTTCATATTTAATTCCAGAAAATACTATTAAAATAACTATTTTAAGAACATTATCGAAAAAAAATCAGAAAAATGACGACAAAATACAGTGAGAGGCAAGTACCCATCACAAAAAGTGTAAAAGAGAGCGAAAAAGATGGAGAATGGAAAGAGATGGCTAAACTGAGATAAAAAATGTTTTTGGCAAAAAGCCTGGATGCTACAAAAAAAAGTTAAAAACTATAAAATTCGTATGTGTAAGTGAAAATTTGCGAAAAAGAGGCGCAGCAATGGAAATGGACACCATTGTCTCTGTCCGTGCGAACGAGAAGCCATGGGAAATGGAGACAGAGATGAAAGATTGTATGGAGAATAAGGCAACAAAGTTGCATGGGGCCCAACATAACGAAAAATCGAGGAGTCCATAAGGCCACAGCGTGTGGTGGGCCAGTGAAAACCCGAAAAAAAACTGTATACAATATGAACGGAGCACTCTCCGGCAAACTTTGGCAGTGGGACAAAAACATAGGAAAAAAAAATAAGGGGAAAATCGGGAGACTCTGGTGACACAGTGTCATCTGCATACACACAGCTGGATATGGTCAAGTTGGCGGACAAAATTGCCTGGGAGTGTCGCCAACTGTGATGACTTCAATATGCACTATCCTCTGATCCAGAGAATACGAGACACAAAAGATGGGGACATGAGTGCCCAGGTCTCAGGACGAACAAATGCAAATTGATACACAGCTGAAAATGGCAAAAATTAATCGGTTTAGAGTTTGCCGGATAAAGTCAACAGAAGCCGCAGTCATCACTAGAGGCCAATTGTCAGGTGTCGAACCAAACGGATGCCGTTGAATGTTGGCAATAAAAAAGACAAATTCACCAGGAATTGAGATGCGGATTGTGCATTGATATAGGAATGGAGTGAAAGGGTTTGGTTAAGGAAATCCGAGAGGTGAGATTAGTTTCGTAAACACACTCTCCTTGAAAAAACATTTATTTAACTTTTATAAATATCAGAAGCAATTTTTTAACAGATCTATTCTCACTCTTATACTAGATTAATTTTAAGACCAGCTTTGCGGCTAAAACAATTATCTCTCCATTTACGTTCACCTTTGGGTCTTCTGTTGTCGAAGGTCCAACACAGTCCAACCTGCCTATGTCAACTGATGACGGGGCCAGAACTACTTATTGCATGGCCAAACAAACAGATTATTTGGCAAATAAGCCGGGCAAACAATTCAAGAACTTACCCATTGCTTGCGCTACCTCAGACGGGCCCAAAAAGCAAACAATCCACACAAAGGGAGCGCCCAACGGTTTCGAAATTAATTTTAACCCTGACCAGGGTAGCATACACACTAAAGAGCCAAGTTAGCTTGCCGGCTCAGTTGGCTTTGCTTAACTGATTAGGTTCCTGGTCTGTTATCGTGGGCAAAAGGAGGGCTGCGAGAGGTAGGGCTCCGGAAATAGTCTCGGATTCCCCACGTAACTCCCATCCTACATACTGCCACCATGAATCAAAGCGGAAAGTAATGGCCAAAGTTACAGGGAAGACACTTTAGATCGTCCAGACTCCATATGACCAGTGCACAGAGAAAAAAAATAATAAAAAGTGTAAAGGTATAATGAAACGAAATCGGGAAAATAAATTTAAATAAATTGACACGTTTTTAACATTTATAATAGCTTGTGTCAATAATAGGGTTTTTATCATGTAAACATTAGAATGAGTGATAATTTACTTTAGTTTACTTTAAATTAGGAAATATAAATTGAACTGCGAAAACTTGTAGTATTAGGAACACATTTTTAAATCTATTTATATATATTCACAAGTTCAGATATACAAAAAATGCACTTCTTCTTACAAAAGAGACTACTTTTTTTTAGCAGTGCATGGGCCATTCTTTGGACAAACTATATGGACCCAAATAGCCCCGGGCATCATGAACAGGAATAAAAACTGTACAACAAATGTCATAAAACGGTCACTCACCTCGATAAACTTTGCTACGCTTGCTAGCGGCCACGATTTGTTGCTGTTGCTGCTGCTGTTGTTGCTGCTGCTGGACAGTTGCTGCGTCCAGTTGCAGCAGCAATCTAGGCGCTGCTGCTGCTGCGACCGCCGCTGCTGCTGCCTGTGCAATGTTTCCATTAACATTTGTCACAGCCGCTGGCGTCAAATGTTGCTGATGCTGCCCATGTTGCTGATGGTGATGATGAAGCTGCTGTTGCTGTTGCTGTTGCTGCTGTGCTGCGTGATGCGGATGGGGATGGGAATGGGGATGGCCATGTGAATGGGCATGGGTATGAGTGTGTATGTGGGGATGATGGGCAATGGCGCCATTTGGGGCTGTCACTGCCGGCGGTCCATGTGCCGGGCAAAAGCTGCGATATTCGCCATTGATGTCGATGTAAATTGGCGCCTCCACAAGTGGCCAAGCGGCGCCAGTCAAAGATGTTGCTGTGGCACCACCCGCTGCTGTTGCTGCTGGAGTTGCGGCTGCTGTTGCTGCTGCTGCGGCGGCCGCAGCTGCTGCTGTTACTCCATTTGGTTGCAAGGTAATCAATTGCACGGGCAGTAGTTGGGCGCCATGAATATGCGGCAAGCCGGCATGTTGTGCACAGTGTTGCTGTTGCTGTTGTTGCTGCTGCTGTTGCTGTTGCTGCTGCTGCTGCTTGGGTGACAACTGTTGCTGCTGCTGTTGCTGCTGCTGCTGCTGCTGTTGAATTTGTTGTTGATAATAAACCGTTGTCTGCTCGTAGGCGGTATAGCCCAAGGCCGTGGTTGTCGTCGTCGTGACCGACGACATGTTGCCGCTGGCCAGCGATGACTGCTGCAGTTGCTTGGCCTTCAAGGCAGCAGGCTGAAAGGGTGGCGCCAATGGGGTAAGATTCGACTTATAAGCCTTTACCAAAGCACTGCTGGTAGATGTTGCCGTTGTGGTGTTGTTATTGCTGCTACTGCTGCTGCTGATTGCAGATGCACTAGTGGAGGCCTTTTGATTAGCTTGCTCTCCGTTTTGCACTTTGCGGCCGGACTTTGATCTATCGCTGATGGGCCCACGGCCATTTGTGGATATTTCGCTGCTGCGATTATTGTTATTGTTGTCCACCACCGGCAATATTGCCCGCGGTTCACGACTATAACCTGACCTTTCGATTACCTGATAACTTTCACCTATGAAAGTCACCAGGTCGTGGCATTCTGCAGTCTCATCGTTAGTGTCCTCATCATCGCTTTCGATAACATGTTCGATTATGCGCAAGTTATCGTAGTCTATGATTCGGGCATAGCCCATACCCAAAGCTAGACCTGTGAGTCTGGCCACATCGTCGATTTCCCCGTCCTCATCAGATACAACTGGCACCTCGACAACATTTGGCTCCTGTTCTTCTACGAGAGTTTTTTCTAAGACGTCCTCATCCTCCTTCAATTCGTCGCCATTTATCGCGGCTTTTCCATCACTGTCGTCATTGTCATCGCTTTGTATTCCATTTGTTTCCACTTGTACTTCAACTTCCTCTTTAATTGCCCCTTCAATTTCCATATCCTCTTCAACAATTTGACTCAATCTAGGTTTCAGGGGCTTAAGCTCCGATTCATCATCATCATAGCCATCAGTTTGAGTGCTGTTATCGATAAATATCGTATCTGTTGAGCCATAATAGTCGCACTCATCGCATACCAACTCCAACTTGCTTTCATTAACCTCCAAGACAGCAGTTGCCATTTTTATTGATATTTGTAATTCGAATGGAACTCACTTCAGTTGTTGTTTAGTAATTACTTGGTTCCTTCTCATAAATCAGAGATTTCAAATAGAGATTATGTTGTGACAACAGAGGAAAATTATTGGAATTTTCTTTGCAACTTGTTTCTGAAAGTGTCATTTTGCTGCTGTTCAAACAAAGTCATATGAGTTGAGCTTGGTTAAGCATAAGGCCCAAGTTTTTTGGCCTCAATTATTTACACCTTTCGGTTGGCAATGCCTGCAACGAAACGGAAAACAGAAAGAAAATTGTTTAACTCAAGGAGTTTTTCACTTTCTATCAACTTTTCCCTCTCAAGTACGAGACGAAAGTTTGACTTGTGTTGTTTTTTGCCCTTCTGCCTCTTTGCTTCTTGGCAAATTGTTTATTGAAAGTCATAAAATATTTATTTTAATTAAAAGCAAATCATAAATGCAAGTAAAAAGGAGAGCGATGACTGGAAAATGTTTGTACAACTCAAGGAAGCAGGGAGCTCCCAATACTTTTTCTAGAAAACATAATTTAATTGGTTAAAATCTTGTAACTTGGTTAAAAGTACCTTTATTTTGAGCTAAAAACAATCAATAAACGACAACAAGCATTTTTATTCAATGCGGTTCATGTCATATTCTACGATTAAAATAAACTTTAGTTGACTAATTATAAACTATTTAAACTGAATGGCAATCAAAGTGTAATATAAACCAGATAATTAATATTTAAAACTGGAAAATAAATTTGATTTAAACGTAATCTCTTAATTTAAATGCATTTTGCTTTAAGTTTATTTTGCCACAACGACAACAAAATAAAACCAAAACATACCGAAATAAATTGCTAAAAATAACATTAAAGGCAATGACCAAATCAGTTAGATCTGCACAAATGCAAATGAAAATCTATTCAACAACTTTTGCCACATGCCATCACGCACACACGGAGATTGGTCAATATGCAAAATGTATGTGTAAATTGCGTTTTGGTCAACAATTTCAATATTTTATGCGGACGACCTGGCGTATGAGCAATGTGTCCAGCCGGCAGACACCAGAAAATGCTGTACGAGTTCTTGCGGCCAACCAACTCAATGAATAATACATATATAAACCGGAAGTTATTTTCTATTCCATTTACACTACTTAAATATGTCGAGAGACTACTTACTAAGCTTGGGCATCAAAGGTGCAATAGTAAAAATATTAAAATTCTGATTGGATTTGTATGCAAATATGTTTTGCTGGTGGTAAAATACGATATTTACAGTAAACATTTTATCTAAGTGAAATATTGTTTAAGTTATTTGATAATATTCAATTAAATATTTTATAATCATTTCTTAATTGCCGAAGAATCACCTGTAATAAATTAAAAAAAAAACTCCATTTAACTAATTTAAAAACTAAATGTTCTTTTTCGAGCATTAAACAAATAGTAGATGTTATTGATACATTTTGTTTTTAATAATAATTGAATTTCATAATTAAATATTATAACTAAGGCAATGTAAATATATATCAAGTCCAAATCTGAATTGGTTAATAGTCAAAGTCATAAAAAATAAAATATTTTTAATCAATAAACTTTTGATATACCTGATAAAATTTTTCCCAGTAAATGGTAACATTTTTATGTCCAATAATTGGTCAAAATTATAAATTTTTAATATGACAAATTAGTGCTTATTAAAACAAGCAAATAAGGCAACGCTAAATGGTTGAACTTAACAAAATGGTTATGCCGCATTTTTAAAAAGGTTTGTTTGCAAATATGCAAAAAAGCTTTTGATAAAATGAATTACAAAAACCTTAATTTATGCTTGCGAAAGGGCCACAAAACAAATATCATAAGCCAAAATAAAAACAATTGAAAAAACATTATCTAGAACGCATTTGATAAAATTTCAGTGCATTTAATTTAGCGCGGATGTGCGGGAAAGCAGGGAAGCTATTTACAAAATAGCCGCAAAATATTTGTGAGCTCATTTCCATTTCCGAACGCGCGATTTCATAATTGAATTGCAGAAACATTTTCAAATAAAACTAATATTTGAACAGACCAATAATTACGAAGTCGGTGGAAAATAGGCATCAGAAATAGACATCAAATGAAAAGGGAAACCATAATTAAAGTGTTGCAATTAGATCAAACCATGCGTAACCATAAAAATATTTTCAGAAATTATTTTATAAGCGTCCCTTGCACCAGTCATAAATGAAAGTCAAAGTCACTAAAGTGGGTGTTACTAGGTGGGCGTGGCACTGCAATCCAAACGCTCCGGTATTATCAATAAAGCCGAGCTGCGGGGAAAAAGTTGCTAAACGATGCACTCTCCGCAAACTTGGAAAAATGCAATTAAGTTGGCAACGCCAAAGGAATGACGTGAAAAGGGATTTCTGGGGGTTCAGATACTTTCAGTATCTGTGTGGGCATGTTCTTGTGTGCCTTCAGTGTGTGAGTGAGTCAACAAATTTAATTAGCGCCACAAGATGGTTAAAAAAAATAAATAAATCAACAGCATAGGTAAAGATATTGCTGCGTTTAAGGCCGTCCGCTCCAAGTTCATAAAAAAATTAATTCATTAGTAAGGGTCGAATAAACAGATTGAAATTTAATATAAATTTGAATATGTCTCAAAGGATATATAGTGATTAAAATGGATGAATGAGTGGATGTGTGTTAAATAAACCGTTAAGCCAGTTGAAACATATCTTTCTAACCTCTAATCCTTGTGTTGGCCAACTCTGATTTTGTTTCCCAAAGTAAAGGCTTTCTTTGGACCAATTTTTCTTGGAGCCGCTTAAAACTCAAGATTAACAGTATGTGCTCACACATTTTCACTCAATCCGGCTACAAACTCTCAGAAATGAGTATTTTTATCAAAGTTCTCTCCGATTTCCTAAGAACCTCTCTTTCTCTGAGGACTACCCACTCTCACGACGCATGAGTAAGCGATATCCCGTAGTAACTATCGGAAAACCGAAACCCATTCCAATTGCGAGCTTTCGGCGTTGCAAACGCAACAAGTTAGACATCAAATTTATGACCAACGGCAAAACAACACCAAAAAATATGAATGAAGGTTTTAGTTTAGTGTTACCCTCAAAAGTTTCAGGTAGAGTAGTTTGGCTCCAATGAGTATAAAATGGGGTAACTAAAACATTAAACTAACATAAACAAAATTTGTTTTTTTAAATTTATTATGAAAACCCGGTTTTATTATTGTTTGTGTCTTATATTCGATAAATATTTTTAATGCCGTTTTCATGAGTTTAATATGCCCTTTAGCTAACGACAATATCAATTACATAGTTGCATGTCATTTGGATTAGGAATCGGATGTGAAAGATGCTTGAATTTTGCGCCTAAATGACCCTTTTGATGTTTTGCTACTTCATTTGACTGCCACTTCTCGATCTCTGGCATTTCGGTCCCACGCGGCGTATGATTAATATTTGTATTAATTTGTTTTATTGCTCATACGCCGCGTGGTCCGGGATTATCTTAGATGCGGCCCAATGATAAATTCGCTGCACGCTCATCACGCCCCATTCACATGACATGACGTTTGACTAATGACAGACCACCGCCACCACGTACCGCTTTTTTCCCATTCTCGGAAACTTTTATAGCTTACCTTAAAGCTTAGCAAACAAAAAAAAAATATACAAGTGTATATATATAAAAAGGAGCGAAAGCAAAAGAATGGAACAGAAAAGTAGGCAAGACATTATAACATAGATAAAATGTTGACAACTTGCTAACAAATGAAATGCAAACATGTTGCTGCAGGTCCTTGAAGACAACGATGATGACTTGGAGGGGAATAAGAAGGATGCTGATGAGGAAGCCGCACAAAAGGGAAATTTATATGTAGGCCCACGAACAGCAGCCTAAGCCCCTCAACCGATAAGACCGTGACGGCAGGAATTTAAAGGCCGAAGTCGAAATACTTTCATCGGATCAGAGAGCCACATAAATGTCCATTCCAACATTACAATAAATGAAAGAACAAAGTAATCAACATTAAATGTTTTTTCAGTGATTCAAAGATTTAAAAAAAAATTACAATAACTTTTTTGAAATTCTAAATTATTTATTTAAATAAAAAAAAAATTTTAGCGGTTTGCGTTAATCTTTAGTTCTTAAGGTTTATCGGATTTCTTGAAAATTACACAATTTTATTAAAAGCAAAATTTTTTTTGTTTCCAAAATGATTATTAAAATTCAAATACCCTTTGAAAAAAAGAAACTCCAACCAAATCAGCGCGCACCGCCTTCTCCTGGCTGTGTGGGCGACACAAAGAAGATATCCTCATAAAAAGTTTAAGTTTAAAAACAAACCAAAAATTTCTGAATACACTGAAGAAAATATTTATGATAGCCTTAAAACCAAATGAATAATAATTTGATAACCATAATATCACTGTCTGTAGAAAAATACATGTGTTGAAAATTAATAAATTTATTTTCCATTTGCTTAATATTTTTATATAATTAAATCACATCGATAACACTAAAAATCTTTATAATATGTGCCCGAATCTTTATAACCCTAATCGAAATACTCTCGCAGAGGGTAGATACAAATGTTGAATGCGGCTTGCAGACAGGCAAACTGTGAAAGGAGCTTAAGGATTTAGGCCAAAACATGGAATGGAAACGCAGGGAGTCCGGAAAAGTGGGATGAAAATGGTGGATACGAAGACGGACCAACGGTGTGAGTAATTAAGACGCAAGTGCGTAAAAGTTGCCCGCACGAAAATGACGCAAACGCTCCGCGTCAGACGAGAAGATGTGACGGTGGAAAAGAGGGAAACCCCCCGAAAGTAAGAAAGTAAGAAGAAATGGCTTCAATTAATTGACTTGAGGAAAATTGGAGTAAGAGGAAAATTTTTGCTGCTGATAACGTTTAAAATGTTTTTCGTTGTGGCATACTTTTAGGCATCACTGTGTAGGGTTTTACTTAATGCTGGTTAAGCAAGAAAAGCGGCTTAAGCCCAATCAAAACGACTTAAACAATGGATCTTGCTGTTATTTAGACAGCTCCGTTCGGGCCTGTTTTTAATTCTTGTGAATCAACAAAATGTAAATCACATTTGGCAACAGCTGTCCCGTCTGTTTTGCAATGGAAAACAAGTCAATTATAATTGACAATCTATGGGTATAAAATTTCCAATTGGCCGAGAAGGCACGTCCCAGACATAAAACAAAATTACAAAGCCCACAAAACAGAGATAGAACACATACATGGACAATAAACAAAGTGCAATTAGTTGATATACGAGATACCAAAGGGTGTATATGGCACATAGGTGGAGCAGGTCAAAGTTTATGGCCTGCCGTCCGGTGCTGCAAAATGCAACTCATATTTCACAAGGCCAAAAATGTCTCGCTTGCTGCACATAAAACATTTTACTTGGCAAAGCCCAAGCTGACACTGATGCTGACACTCCACACAACTCATCTGTCTCCCCCGCTGCAGTCCCTCTGCCCAACCATTGTGAATATAATTTGTCACTTGCATGGTCTTTATATACCGAAAACACGGTGAGCAGACAGTCAACCGGAGAACACTCAATACACAAAGAAATTATCTGGGGTGCGGCAACAAATTAACAAGCAACGAACCTTTCTTGAAAGCTTTTCTTAAATTGAAACCAAAAACCATAATATTCGTAATTTTATAAAATATTTAATCATAATACTTGTATCTAATATAGATGTTTAAAATGATTTTAATTACAAATATTCAAGTATTTATAACGAATTTTTCTCACATTTTCAGTTAGTTGATCTTACCTACACTTAACTAAATAGGTAATCAGTTATCACAAAATGCTTTCCTACTTATTTAAAAACTATTAAAAAACAACCTTGAAATTATAAAAACTTTCGAGTCATGAGAACTTCTATATGAAACATTATACCTATCTTGTATTTATTTATTGACCATCCTTACTATATTTAAAGATTTTAAGAAAGAAGATTCTAGGCCATCATTTTTTCGGGTGTAAGGTCACAATGAAAGAAAATACCGGACAGGTCATCCTTTTAAATAAAACACAGCAAGTATAACTGTCAGGCTGCTGAAGCTGTCGTTTATCACACGTGTACGTATACTTCTCGCACGTACACGCACTTTTCGAGCTCACTGTGTGCATGTAGGTTGACTCTGCATAAATGTCAAAGAAGATGTGCTATTTCACGTGAGTGTGTGTTTGTAAGTTTGATATAGGGGATTTCCGTTCAATTGGGCATATTTGATTAACAAATTAAGTTAAAGCCAATTTGATGAACAAAGAGGAAATATTGATATGGAAGCGGATGTTCAAATTGATGCATTGTTATTATGCATTGCAGCTAAAACAAAGGATAAGTTATTATGTTTCAAGAATTTTTTGGAAAAAAAAAATTTAAAATTAAGTGTGCCACACTTTACTCTTATTTTGTTTCTAAAAATTACGTTTTTTTTTACGAACTTGTTACCATATATTTTAAATATTCCTGAGGTTCCTGTCCAAAAGGAACCATACCAGCATTCACATGTTTACAATTCAACTTTTCTCACGTGCCATAAATAATAAGAGGAAAGCGTGTCATTCTAAACATGCCTTATGCTTTCACCTCCTGGCTCCATATAAAAATCCATTCGTTTTTTATTTCTGTGCACACTGACGAGTGTTAAAATAACATTTGCACTGCATTTTAAATGGCATTTTCAAAATAGAATTTCCGTGTGAGCTATTTCAGAAATTCTTCTTTTATTTCTGCTGTGATGAACGTTGAAACCAAACAATCAACAAACGAATTTCCTGGTAGTCCAGCCTTTGCTTGTTTTGGGTCGGAGTCAAAATGCTACATTTAACCGAGGAAAACATCAAACATGTTAAATAAATGTTCGCTTTGGGCGGAATGCTGTCGTCCCTGATTTTTGGACGCTTCTATATTAAGGTGCCTATCCGGAAAAGGAAATCAAAAAGAATTTCATCCACCCACAAACGCAATTTTTGCATACACTTATTCACACATACATGAGCCTACTAAGGGCCTCGGGCAAAAGTCATAGCATACTTCAGTGCGCTGCCCACAAGCTATTTTTTGAATACTGTGTAGAGATTAAGGGTATTTATTTAGAAAACTTCACTGCTCTAGTCTTGATATTATAAAATAATATATTTATCTATTTTTTCTAACAACAATTTTTTAATAAACGTGTGCTCGTGCATAAACATTTTTTTTCAATTTAGTTTGTATTTGTATTATTGCTACTCATTTTTATTTATATTTAATTTTTTAAAAACAATTTGTATTCATTCTGTAAAACATATATTTCAATATTTTAGTCAATTCTAAGTCCATTATTTAATAAGTAACCATCGTCAAGTTTTTAACTTTAACGGCATCAAACAAATTTGAAATATCCTTGATGTCAGATTCTTCTTAACCGTTTTTTTATTGGCGCCCAGCTTCAATTGCTGCCATATGTCCGACTCTGACACTTTTTGATTAAATTACCGTTGGCTGTCAATAACAGATATAAACAATTCGGGTTGCAGTTTCCCAACTTTGCATCCTTTGCATCCTTGCAACTTTCATAATTGTTCAAGCTTATACATTAATACTATTATTTCAACTTAATTTAAAGCTTTTCGTTCTGATCTTCCATCACTTAATCTACTTCTGATGATGATGATGCCAACGCAATGACATCTTGGCTTGTCAGTTGACTTTGACAGCTGTTAAAGCTTTAATTGCCACTATAAACATGATTGATACCGAAAACTTTGTCCTTGTTTGGCTTTTGTAAAAACATCTTTCTTTGTTTTCCTTTTTTTTTTTTGCTGTTTTTTTGCACAAACGCGTTTAATTAAACCTCCATATGGTATTATTCCGGGGGCGATTACCGAAGAGTTGCGAGTGGGAGGTCAGGGATTCTATATTTAGACCACGCTGATTAGGAACAGCAAAAGCGACAACAGCGAAAAACGTCAGCACAAAGGCGTCTCTGATGTAAATATCAGAAGCCAATATTGGGCATCACTGTGTGACAAAGTTTGTTCAATTCTTTTTCCACTCCTGTTGCTATGGGCCGAGGATTATTGATAGATATGGCTTACTTCTCTTGCATTGGCCAGCCTCTGTAACAGCGATAGAAAAACGCTTGTTACCAACTGAATGACAATTTAAGCTTGACAATGGTTTCCATTTACATTTGATGGAGAAGAACAACGGAGGCTGAAACTGAAAAGTTTATGCAGAAAGTAACGTTTTTTTTTTAACAAAAAAATGTATGCTGAAATATTCTTGTATATTAACCAAAATATATAACAACATAATATTTTTGTGCTTTTGTCGCAATAAAAAATATTCCAAATATATTATTTATAAAAGCTTACAAATTAACTTTTTCCCAAAAGATTAATACATATTGAACACCAAAACTTTCGGATCATAGCAAGCAAAGCATTTTATTGTCACACTTATCTCTAGCTGCCCAGTTAGTTTTTGAGTTTTGCATGTAGCTTCCAGTTCCTAGAAACATTTTTACTGAAAGCACACATCAATAAAGTAGTTAACCCTTTCCAAAAAAAAATCAAAAATATGCCCAACTTTAACGGGGCTATTGTCGTGCACACTCTTCAGTTGCTGAACTCGCCGGCTACACTGCGAGAAATCATTGTGACCATAGCCAAAAACACAGAATTGCCGCAGGATGAACTGAAGGCGCCAGTGAAACAAACCTTAGATATGGGACATCGAATGGGATTCCTGCAGAAACTTGACGGTGAGATATTGCAATAAATTTGTTTTTAAAGTCAAGAAATTACCCTTTTTAAAGGTCGCTATTTTCTTGTGCCCATGACTTTCGACACACTGAGGACTGAGATGCATGCCCTGGACAGGGAAGAGGTGTTAGAGAAGCCGAAGATAGCTAAATCCAAAAAGAAGTTGGTACAGAAAAGCCCCTTGTTGTCGGAGGTGGAGAAAAAAATCAGTAAGAAGACGGTAAAGTCAGCGGAATCTCTAGGAAACCCTATCGCAACTAAACAAATTCGAAAGCTGGGCACTCCCAGTTTATCAACCAAATATGCTGATTAAGTCGAAGCGAAGCGTTTTAGCCAAGATCACAGAACAGTTGAACTCTTCTCACAATTATCGCTGAATCCACTGATAGTACTTATCATTCGTAAAAGGATATTGTCATTTGTGATTTAGAGAAGATGTGAAACAAATTGTCTGTTCTGTTCTATAAATATTTGGCCGTAATACGTAGAAGCATTAAATTTTTTATAAAATCAACAGAAGTCTTTTTTTCAATTGATTTTTAGAGACAATAATAATAATAATTTTAATAGTTTTACTTGGAATATGGATTAATTTACTAAGTTATCGGAAATATTCCAATTTACTTGGTCTCGTTATTCCCCTGGCCAATAAGAGGATGCCTTTGAGAAATGATTGCTCATTTACGCAAGTTGACAAATGTCTCAATTAGTGGAGGACGAATTCTCAAACGCAAGGGAGGTGAGGAATATATATACATGTACTCGCCAAAGAGGGAGGCAATGAGTCGCCCGACAATGTCGCGTCGCTTCCTATTCAATTTGAAAACCAAATGAAGCGTCCCCTCCGCCAAGTGGCAATTTGCTCTGTGCATTGAATTGACCATATGGTTAGGCACCCACCAAAAGACGCCCTACGCAATCTGCACCATCACCCCTCGAGGCGTTACTTTTGGCCAACCCTCTATTCACAGTGCTTGAACGTTCCAAAAAAGCTTTATTACACTTAACAAATTTGACTTTATTTCTGACATACAATTCTGAAACAGACTTTTGGTAAAAAAAATTGTTTATGATTCAACTTCTTAGTTTTGTGAAAACTACCTTAGTTATAAAACGTTTTGTTAAGGGAAAACTGATAAAATAAAAAATCAATGTATATTTTAGTTTTTAAATACATTTTTCTAAACTTTGAAATTTTGTTTGAAGTGTCATAGCGGGATTTGAATATTGTTTTTTCTCGCTGCTTTTCTTTGACCTTTGCGATGACGTCGGTCCAAACCGGCGTCGGTTACCTTAAAGAGAGGGCAATGTAAACAGAGAAAGAGAAAGGCGGAGAAATGCAGAGAGAGAGAGAGAGAGAGAGTGTGAATGAGAGAGAAACCGTGAGAATCCTGGTGAATAGACAGCGTGGTGAGAAGCAAACTCTACACGAAGAGTGCAACAAATGTTTGGAAGACAACTTCGGGCCAACAAGGTAAATGTTAGGGCATACACGTTGGTTGAGTGTGTGAGCTCGTCAGTGGGTGGTTTTAGCGGGTGGATGGGCGGGCTTACTGGGAGGCTACTTTCGGGCCCGTGACGCGTGGGTAGCGACAAAAACGAGTAAAGTAATGTCTTGCCCTTTTTTTTTTTGGCATACTGGCATACAGAGCACAGCGAATTATTTGAGTGTGCCGTTGGTTTTTATCAGGGTGCATCGATTTAAGCTAAGTTTGTTATACCAAAATGACTTAGGTACTTATAAACGGCAACAAACTTTGTATATGACTTCAGAAATATTACGTAATGAAATAAAGTTAACATTTTTTGATTAAGTAATTTTTTGTAACTACAAATTCAATTTTTAAAGTATATTTTACTTAATATCCAGTTAAATATATACTGGTATATAAATGTAAATGTAAATGGTTAATTTTATTTTTTATTTGAAACTAAAACAATATTTGCATTATTGCGAATTTCCTTTCACTTTTTTTTGTTGTTTCACTTATTTTAAAAGTATTTTTTTCAACTCTTTTAATTTTCAAACGTGTTGACCCACCCTTATGCTACAATATCCCTTGTAGGAGACCTTGTTCGAGATGAGCGCGTGGCCAGAGACAACGAAATGTCAAAGCAGCCTGCTTATTTTTTGTTCGTATTTCGTTGTTTTGCTAAATGTGTGTGCGATTTTTGGTTTAGCTTTTTGGCATATGGTCGGCTTGCAGGGAAACCGGTGGGAGGGATATATACACCCGGTGTTGTTGTTCGTTGGAAAAGCTGTTTCGTCCATTTCGCTTCTTTTTACTCGAGGTTTTCTAGTTAAATATTTTGCAACACCGCATCGCATTTCCATGATTAGCAGATAAACATATGGTAAGTTGCTGGAGAAGTTTGAAGGGGCTCTGGAGAAGTGGGTGGTATATATGGGTTACTACGACTTTGATTGAGCTTTTAAGGGGACTAAGTTAGGCAGAGAAATGTTTGTTTAGGATGCAACAGCTGTTGGGTTATGTTGAAAAAATGTTGAGGACAGGGTGTTGAAAAGAAATTAACATTTTATACCAAACTTGCTTTGTTATAAATTCAGATCAAAATTAAATTCATCTTAAATATTTAACAAAATTAAAATATAAAGTTTAATTTAAACAGTGCCATTAAATACACACAAAATATATATCAAGTAGATTTTTCTCTGCAGATATAGTATTCTTCTTTAACATTTTATTTTTCTGTTGTTTTCATTTAAAAAAATGTTTTTATATTATGCCATAGATACCTTTCTCTCTAATTGCAGTCCTTCTCTCATTCCTTAAACTCAACCATTGTCATTCCATTTGCAAAGAAGATTTCGCCAGCCCTTAATTCGATTAAGTTTAATGAACCAAATTATAATTGCGAATAAATTATCTCATTTTAGACGCAGAAAATTTCGCACTTTTGCCTTTTAGTAGCTCTGAAACTCTGAAAACGGCGTCAAGGCCAATTAGGAAACTTTGTCCAAACATCTCACTACCAAAAGGGGCGAAACAGAAACTTATCTCGTGGATCTGGTAGAGCCCATTTCCCTCTTGACAACCTCTCTTTTGGTCGACGAACTATAGCATATGCCAAAGTAAAAAGCTTACCAAAGTCTAACTCGATTAAAAATGCATAAATGCAATTAAAAGCAAATGGAAATCGAACGAAACTCGCAAAAGCTTCGAGCAAAATACGCCTTGAGGTGGAAAGGCAAGAGAGATTACACTTAAAGAAAATACAATGAAAACTTAAAGAATTTTTCAAAAATAACTTTCCTTAAGATTTAAATTTTTAACTGCAAACAAAATAAACGGTTATAGGAGAATTTTGTATTTTACGAGATAATCTTAAGATATTATTGGGTCTAAATATGAATATCAAAGATAAATTGCTTAAAGATGTGATTTTAAGTAATTAAATCTTTATATATGTATGTTATTGAATATTCCTAAATATTTCAATGCTGAATTTTTTTAAATTTAAAATTCTAAATAAGTTGGATTTTTGTAAGCCTACCAACAGTATAATATTTTATTTGTTTAGTCCCAACTAGTTTTTATTTTGTCTGTGTCTTAGAACATAGTTTTTGCTCAGTGCACCAAAGCAAAAATTGTAAAAGATAAAAGAGAAAGGGGACAGGGGAGGGAGTGGTGAAGGAGGGTGGCGGGAGGTGAGGCACTCAAAAGGCGCGACAAGTGTCGGCTGAGCTTTGTTTGGCGCAAAGAGAGCAGCGAAATGCGAAGAGCAAAAAGCGCGAAGCCAAAATCCAAAGACGACCATAGACAGTGAATGCTATGTTTATGCCGTGAAATTTAATTTGCGTTCTGTTCACAATATAACTTTTAGGGTAACAAAATTTAATAATTACACTTGCACTAAAAAAGCTCTAGAGCTACAAGCTTGTAGTTTGTTAATAAAAAACCTTTTTTTAAAACCTTTTTTAGAGGAACTCAAGAATTACATTTATTTTGAAAATGGGGATCCCCATAAACACAGTACCAGTAAAAGAAGCCCTGACCATGCAGTTGCGTCAATGGGTGCGAAGGAGAAGCAGTGAGTGCGGAATAGGGAGGGGAATATTAGAGAGAGGGTGAGAGAGCGAGAGAGGCACTGGTTGAGTTGGTTTTGCTGACTGCACTTGTTTTGCCATCATTATTATTGTTGCTTGCAACGTTTTGCTGCCACTTGGCCGCAAAAGCAACAAAAACAAACGCACACTAATACACGTGCGCGGTATTGCCAATTCACCCACATATACACAGACAACAGTTAGCCCGCCGCTAAAGTGTGTGTATGCTAACATATTGTAAGTATTTTTTCTTATTTCTCAATGGAAAATCCGACTCCAAAAACCGTCAAAACAATCGGAAAACCTAACTTACCTATTGGAATTTGAAAAAGCGTCAAAAATATATAAATTGGTATGTAAAATAATGAAACATATGCTAGCACACACACTAAAATCAACTTACTTTGCAAGTATTTTGCCTTTGACTTGCTTTTGTTTTCAATTTATTTATTTGTTGCTTTTTGATTTTATTTTTTGCTGCACTTACTCACACAAAAACACACGCGTACTCGCAAAACACGAAAAGCAGCCAAAATTTTGTTGTTTTGGGTTTCACTGCTTTGAATTTTTGTGTTTTTTTTTTTTAAATGCGTAACCAGTATTTTTAACGAATAACGAAAACGCGAATGAAAGAAAATAACGATAAACGATGAAAGGTTTATTACGACGATTTTTGCAGACGAAAAACCTGCGACGACATAGCCATTTGAAGAAAAAAACTAACTATTGTACTTGCCGAATTTGTTTTTAAATGCTCGCCAGCTTTTCTGATTTCCGATGCGAACGCGCGCGCTGCGAAGACATATTCGAACCGAGTCAGAGAAGCCCTCTATATAGATTCTCTCTGACGGTTAAAAACATTTCGAATTGAGTGAGTGGAAAAGCGGCTGATGCGGTCGGCTTTTCTCTCTCACGCCCCCAAAAGCTCTGCGCCCACGACTCTTGAGCGGTCTTGATAACGCTCTTTATTTTCCCGACTGCTAACGGTAATTACGTCGACAATGTTAAAGTAAAGCCTATTTAAATTGTGTATGTTTTTAGTAGAAAATACAAAATATGTAAGCCTTTCCTCGATTTGAAGTGGAAGCTTATTATTAACACAGAAATATTAACAGTATATACCAAAACAATATTTTAAAAACTTAAAAAATAAAAAAGGATTTGATCTTCGTACTTTAAACTTAAGTAAATAAATAAAATTTTGTATTAAAAACAAAATAAATTTTGTTTAAGCTCCCTATTACCAGAAAAACCAAAACCAATTATTAATATTCATTCAGATTATAAGAAATTTTTATAAGCATTTTTAAGTTTGAGTTTAACAACAACATTTTTTTGTTGTGCATAAGAGTATGCAGTTTCGATTTACTTCTCTCTCATCCTATTCGGCTCCAGAATTCTCGTGCTGTGTGGGTGTCAAAGTCGTTGCCACCCACAGCAAGTCCTGAAATTGAGTGCTTTAATGGTTTGAATCCCTGCTAAGTAAGTTATTTAAGATAATAATGAACCTGACAAAAAGATCATTTATTTTAACAATTATATTGGTGCAACCAATATTCTATGAAATATATTTTCATTTTTTTAATAATATTTTAAATCGGAATTGTAAATATCATTTTAAATTAACAAGTGAATTTTAAAGATCTCATTTTTAAGCAAAATTTTAAATAACAGGTAAAAAATATGTTAACTTGAATTTATCTTCTATATATTATAATGTATTTAAAGTAATGTGTTATATCAAGTGGACGTCGACTGCGCGCTGCATTTGTCTCTGCCTCCGCTCTGCTTGGGAAATTGCGTGGGAGAGCGTTGGAACCCGCATGGGAGAACCAGTAATTGAGTCCAATTTGAGCGCTTTTCCGAACCTGCAACCTGTATGAAGACGATGGCTTAAAACGCTCAAGCAAAAGCTTTTCGCGGGATAGAATTGTTGCTTTTGCAACGCCGGCAGACATTCAAACAGCTGTTCAGCTAAATACAAATTGTATGAAATATAATATTGCTTAAATTACTTATAATAAAATAATAATAATACAACAAAATGTTTAGTTTTAATGATGCCTACGGCGCCATTACAAAAATGTAAATAATATAAATTTCCTAAAATCATCAGTGGGTGAACAAAATATGTATTATTAAATTTAAAAATGTGTTTGCCACGAAGTGAAAACATTCTTAAAAAACAGTTCTAGTATCTCGACGTTTAGACGGCAGCATTTTAATTGCTTATTTTATAAAAATATATTTTTTAAACTTTATCTTGAGTATTTCTTATCCAATTTTTGCGCGTGCTAGTAATTGAACTTTGCGAGGAAAGACTAACTCAATAGGTCAACAGAACTCCACAGAGCCGGCACGGTCAAAACGGTCCATGTTTAAAGGATAACAATTCGAAAATTGAACAATGCCGCCCTTATTCGGCGAATATTTTAAAACGCCTTGCCAAAGCTAACAAAAAAATGTGGACCCCTTGGTCGTTTTCCCCTGGCAAAAAAATATATATTTTTATTAAATTAGTTTTTGTTTTAACACGTCCAAAAAAATTGAATACACTTTAGGAAAGCTTTAGCGGGAGCCCAAACCAACTGGTTCGTGTCCTCGATAAAAAACGGTTAGGGTCTAAATTATTATTACTAACATGTTCAAGATTTTTAAATTCGATTTTTTAAAACCAAATCAAAACTTACTTTCTGGTAATAAACTACTTAGCATTATCTGCTAATTAAAACTACATCAAAATTTTAAAAATAATTTGAATATTCTTTATTAAGTTTAACTATTTCTTTGTCCGTGTCCGTGTCAGATTTAATTTCTCTAATACTTTTTTTAATTTATGCCCCTACTTTGCAGAACTTTTTGGGTGTCTTGCGCAGCTTCAACCACCACTCAAAGTCGTTCTTGATATATTTGGCTTTGACAGCGCGTTCACGCTGCTGGATAAATTTGTCGCGATCGCGCAGCCAAATCCGCGCGTATTCCCAGCCAATTAGACGCGCCATCGATATTGGGGTGCACTGTAAAACATGAATTAAATTAAATATATCATGCGTTAAGAAACCACTTATAACATATGGAACAATTATAAAATATTCAATACCTTATAAACTTTTGCAAGATTTATTGCCTACTTAAATGGGCTTTCACAAAAAATGTATGTTATTTTTAAAGGATGTAGATAAGATACGCTAATGCTATTAGTAAATAAATTAAATTTTTAATTTTATTTAAAAGAAAGATCTTATTCTCATCTTTTTTAGAATTATTTTATATTTAAATATCTTTTATGGACCTTGACTAGCCAGCAACTTTCCTTTATAATCACCTCAAGTTCGCAAGATGGCACAAAGCGTTCCCGCTTTCCCGCCTCGGTTGTAAGATTGTCTTTGGGCTTACAAAGTCGAGCTCGAGACCATTCTTTGGTCTGCTTGTTCATTTTATCAGCGAGTTCTCTATTTCTTTTGCACAACAAATTTTCAGAGTATAAAATAAAACTTAAGATTTTGAAGCATTCATATCTGAATATGAGAAATTTACGAAATTGAAGTAGAAATATTTTTGAAGGAAAAGGCTTTACAGGTATAATAGATAAGAATAGAATAATAGATTTTATTTAGTGATTGTATTATACTACAACGATACGTTTTTAATTCCAAAAATATAGATTTTAAAAATATTTAATCTTTCAAATAAAACTCAAAAGGGTTTGAATTTTATTCCAGTTCTTTATATTCTTTTATTTAGTTGGTCAAAGTATGTCCTCGCCAAACCCCGAATGTTCTCAAAAAAACAATAAAAATAATTTAAGAATGGAAACCGCCCAGAACAAACTTGGTAAAATATCCCGCTCCGAAGGACAAACACTGAAATGTTTCAAAGGCGTTTCCCTCTACCAACAACAATATTTCCAGGACCAAGGAAAAGAAGAAGCAGGGAATTGAACCTGGAACTAAAAGACAAAAGGCAAAGAAGTATAACAAACTTTAAGTCAATACACCTACACAAAATACAACAACAGGGCAAAAAAAATTGAAATAAAATTAAATAGGAGAAGAAAAACTCGCCACTTTCCCCCGACCCAACAACCGAATAATAGAAGAAGCAGCACAAGAAAAACAAAACACGGCGACAGGCCAACAATTTGAGGTGGGCGTTTTTGGAAAGAGGGCGGAGCAGGAGGTGGTTTGGGGTGACTTCGGTTCTTTGTAAGGGATGCCAAAAACCCCTCAAAACACTAAAAATAAAGTCAACAAAATTTGGAATATCGAAAATAAATAAATTAAAATCATTTTATTCAAAGGGAAACAGGTAACTTTTGGAAAACACAAACACCCAATTATATTTTAAATGATCTAAAGCGTTTCTTCTCAAAAATCAATTTCTTAATAATGACACCTTCTTTAAAATAAAATAAATACAAAATTTAGTAAGATATTTTTTCCAGTGAAGATGGTACGACCAAACGTAAATCAAACAAAAATAAAACAAAACAAATAAAATAAACAAAACTACGCAAAAGTAGCAGACGACGAATACGAATATACGATGACGATGAGGCAAACAAGGAGCAAAGCAAACAAGTTGGGCCAAATAATTAATCGATGTTATAGCTTGTCGAATGCCCTTTATAACATAATTCAGCAACAAAACAATTGGCATTAAAATGTAACACCATTTAAATATTATTATCTCTATAAAATAAAACAATTAAGCCATTTGAGCGTTTTATAAGGATTTGGGTTCGCAAAACTATTTATGTTATTTTTCTGTGATTTTTAATAATAAATACAAAAAATAATAATAAGTACAAATAGTTCTTCAAATACAAACTTTTTTTAAAATATTTGTAACATCTCAACATTATTCAGGGTATTACCTGTCAAGCAAAAGTGGAACCAGAAATAAAAGAATAATAAGTAAGGACACAGCAAACGAAGAAAGCCAAGACAACAAAAATAACAAATACAAAGACAAATACAAAACATGATGATGATGTTAATTTCCATGATGATAATGATGAAACAAACGAAGCATTTTCTGTTTTCTAAAACAAACATTTGCAAATGTTCTCAACAAACTTTTTATTTGGCCAAAAGAATGAGGGAAACAGAAGCCAGACAGCTGTGGGTGTTTTGGGTGGCCAAAGAGGGTGGTGGTTGGGTGCCGAAGGGGGGGAAGTTTCGAGCAAACAAACACACAATTACAGTTACAGTTGTGTTTGTCTCTCCGTTGCTGTGCGCACTGCAAACAAAACTTCCTATTTTAACCCACCCCCTTCCCTCCGGGGTCTAGTGCTGTCTCACTCACACCCACACCACAGCTTTCTCCTTTCCCTTTTTCCTCCTTTGGCTGTCGACCGCTCACGTGCAATTGTATGCGTAAATAAGCATTTTACTATACAACACAAACTGTTTCTTGTCCTTATCGTTGGTGGGTACAATCGTCTAACAGAATACCTTTTGATTAAACTTTTATCAATTTTAGCGTTTTTTTTATTTATTCTAACTAATGACTTAAAAAGTGAAAAGACTACATTTCAATTAAAATTTCGTCACTAAATTATTGGTAGCATACGATTCTTTTGAAACCCATTGTATGTTTAATGTTCCAAAATATGTTGATTAAACTGAAGCGTTTATTTTATAAGCAAAACCTTCTTGTTTTAATTTGTACATTACTTTTTAGTATTAATGTATGCTTTCGGTTAAAGTCTTTAAATTTTTTTTCGATATAACGAAATGATAACTAACTTAAACATTGTATTTGTACATTTCAGCTGATTCTCGGCGCGTTTGTGCCGCAAAAAAACAAAACTTGAGATATCATTTGAAATCATTAAAAAAAAGTTGTACTATAAACACATAAATTACGAACAAACAAATATTCGTTTTTAAATATAAGATTTAAAAATGAAAATAATAATAAACTTTTTATTATAAGAACATACTGGCTTCATCCATCATAGTATTTTATTGGTATTAGTATTTCAATCTGAACCCGAGGTATTGGAAATTCGAAAAATGCGATTATATCGCTTCTTACTTGGTTTTAGTGCTATTTGTTTATTTCAGTGGGTAGCAAAGGGGGGTGGGTAACTATGGCTAGGTGACTGTCAACCTCCAACCCCCCCTGACCGCCGCCCCTCGTCGTTTCCTCTTCTTGTTGAACTTCTTTGTTGTTGTTTCAGTGCTCATTAGTCGCATTCGCATTGGCTCCTTGTTGTGTTTGCCCCTGTCTATGTGTTTGCATTTGTTTGTTTTAAAATTTTATTGTATTTCATTCAGTTGTTGCCCCGTTTTGTTTCGTTCCCTTGTTGTTGGCCTTGCTGCCTTCGTTTGCTTTTAACCCCACATCGCCCCCAAGGACCATTTGCCCACCTCTTTTTGTTTTTCCTGGGCTGAAAAACGCTGGAGACGTAAGCATTTACACTCATTTATCGCTGCCTATAATGAAATAAAATTATTATGATTATAAACGATAACGATACGTTTCAATTATTTAAAATAAGTAGTTCAATACTTAATAATAAGTTTCAGTTGTTAGTACTAAGATAGTATACTTTTTTATTTTCTCAGCAATATGAGTAAGTGTTTGTTAAATGTTACTTGTTAGACATCTTTAACAAAACAAAACAAATATAAGTTACAGAAATTCTTTAGCCACTTTTTATGGAATTCCCCAATTACTAACTGGAGTTCCTATATATGCACAAATGCATGTTTCAATTATACTTAGTGCTACACACATATGTATATACCTCCCAAAGTTAAGCTTTGTTTTGCTCACTTTTCAATTACATTTCAAGGCATTTTAACGCGACGACAGCCATGAAAAAGTGCAGTGAAATATTCGACATATTCCAGATGAGCAACAACTATGACAACAACCACAAAAAAAAAAAAAAAACAACGACCAAAGCCAAGAACTAAGGCTACAAAATAAGCAGACAGATACATTTTACACCCGACCACCCACAAAAAAAACTCACGTGTTGCCGACGTTGGTTGGCCAACACCAAAAAAAAATGCTTAATTAATTAATTTTTTGCATTCGCTTGTTTGATTTCTGCTTGACTTTTTCGGTGTTTCCCTTTTTTCAGATATTTTTCATTTTGGTTTTGTTTTTTCCATAGCTGCGTTGGCATTTTTGTTGCCGCTGCGGGAGTGTTTATATGTCATTGTTGTTGTTAACAGTTGTACTTTTGAAAATTTACAGTAGTAAAAGCGCAAAAAAATAAGAACTTGTGCATAAAAAAAAGTAGCAAAACAAAAAAAAAAACAAAATAGAGCCAACACAAACAACAAAAACAACAAGAGCAGCAGAAAACAAATTTTTGCTGAATGCACACGAAAAATCAACGAAAGCGAGAGACCTTTTTCAAAACGAAGCGAATGCACAGCAAATTAACAATATCGGATGACAAATGAATTCTTAAGTATTTAAGATTTATTCGGCTAAATCGTGAAGTTCTTAAAGTATTGACTTCAAGAATCAAAGCCTATCCCTAAGTTACTAATGTTAGATATAGAAATAAAAAATTTCTTTGAAAAAGTTTGTAATAATATTTTCTTAAATCTTCTATTAATTACATCTTAAAAAAAAAAGAAAAAAGTGTGTTATATATAAATCCTTAATGTTAACTGCATATATCCTTTTATATTTATGCATATAAAATTATTATAAATACTGGACAAATGGCCAAATCTCAGTAAACTCCTTTGACCTAACAACAACACAATAGTTTAAACAAAATTTAAAAATAAACATGTGAAAGCTAAAAAACTCTTAATCATTAAATCATTAATTAAAGCTACCTTCTTTTTTTTACTCACAAAGTTATAAGTTTTTGTTTTTAGTGCTTCCAATTGCACTGGGAGTTCTTTGGCCCTGTTATTGTTGCTATTTCTGCCGCTGCTCATGTTATTGTTGCTAGTCGAATAACAAAAAATACGAGAAGAAGAGTAAACAATTGCAACAACAACCAGTTGGGTCTGGGTTAGTAAATAAATGCGACAAACGTATTTTTTCCGTTCAGCAAAACAATGTCAACACGGCGAAAACATTTCAACCGAAAATATAAAAACTACCAAAAAATACCACCCGCACAACATTTTTGGTAGCAGCGTTTGCAGAATAAACATTTCATCATATTTATATTCAGATGGAGTACAGTTGTGTTCTAGTAAGTTAGCAACCTGCAACTAAGTGTTGCATACCACAAGGCGACCTTATCAAGAATACTAGGGAAAATAGGAAAAACAGCAAGCCAGAGGGTGATGAAAACTAAAGAATAATTTGTTTACTTCCGCTTGAAGTTTTGCCAAGGTTTTCGATTTGTTTCTAGCGAGTGGCCATAAAAGTCAAAACATGGCAAGAAAGACTACCCCAAGTGTAATTCAGTGTTTTTAAGAATTTGCAACTTTAAAATAACTTCACTATATAATATACATACATATTTTCTAATCCGAAATATTAATAGAAATAGGCAAATTCCGAAAAATGTATACTAAAAATGTATAGTTAAAAATATATAAAATCAAACTAGGATCTTTATTTAATATTAACCGT